TCCTGGTTGCTGAGATGAAAGTGGGTGACAAAATGCACTCGCTTTCCGAACACACACAGACAGCCTTTTGACAATATACATTTTTGCTGGCTGCACCAGCGCAAAAACGCACAAAAAATGGACGGATTGGGGTATTTGCGATCTTTTTTGAAGTTACCTGTGCTGAAGGTTATTGTAGAGATGATGAGCGAGAATCGTATGATCAGCTGGGAAGAAGCGGAGCAGATCCTAGGTGGTGGCACGTACAATCGTCCAATCAAATCCTCACTGCCGCAGCAGACGAGGCCGATCGAACCGGATAATGATACGGACGTAGACTGGTCAATACAGCAGCTGCAGCTTGATGACCCTAAGCTTAAGCAAGTCAATTTGAATAACATGAAAGTAAGCTCTTATATCTGTGGTCTGAAGCGCTGCTTCAAACTTTCATAAACTGTACGTTTCCTGGGTGACTCGATCGGTGATCCGGAAATCCAAGAATTAATTGTAAAGTTCTGCTTCAGTTATATCGGGCGACTGTGCCAACTTCGCCTACCACTGTTTTACGTGACGGCAGAACTAATTCCACGCAAAATTTATCAATATCCTTAAATTATTCTGGATGAGTACCAGTGCATTTGATGTCCTTCCCCCATTCTTCTCAAACGATACTGCATTTTGGGCATAAGAGAGGGTGCATTTTTATCTACTTTCTTTCTGGCTGCTTTTAGAAAAACTACCAAATTTTTATTTGGTCATTTTCATCTTAATTTTATACTTAACTGCATAGTTTAGAGTTTTAAAATTGACGGATTACATTCAGCTTGGACTAAGTACTAGCAATTCTAGGAAATTTGAGCGTATTTGACTTAACGGACCGAAATATTCCCATTTAGTTATTTTATTTTTATTACTGATTTCTCATTTTCCAGTATATCATATAGACAGAATACATTTATTATTTCTAAGTCGTTTTTCCACAATCCATCCTCACTACACCTACTTTCTTTTAAAACACTTAAATTATTTTAAATTAGGGGCAAATAAAAGTGGATGAAAATAAACGAAAGGGAAGCCGAACACACAATTAGGAATGTTCATCCGGGGAATTTTTATACGCTAGAGTGCTGAAATTTTTTAAGCATGGCCTACTACCGCATTTGAGAAGGTGCAAGTAAGAATAATGTATGGGCACCGTTACCAATATATATTTATGGCAGTATCGATTAGGATAAGAACATTTCGGCCCAATGAGCTGTACGCATCTTACAATAGTGCTCCATCTCCTTTTTGCATCTTCATGAAACAAGCATTTTAGACGTATTATTTTGTAATTTTTAGGAAAGTAAACTTAGGAATGAAGTTTATTTCTTTTTACAGCGTACGCCCATTCCACAAGTGAAACGATTATTGGCGGCCATAAAGGACAATACACATTTGGAGAAGATAGCACTGGCTAATATGGGTTTGTATGACAACGATTGTGAGGTAAGCATTATAACTATTTCGAAATTCTTCAGACATATATTTTTTTAAAAAGATACGCAAGAAAAAGAAAAAACAAAAAACGACAGAAACATTTAATAGATAAAGTATAAGGCCTGGGGCAATGATTCACACAACTGATTTTTAATGCATGCGATTGTTACAACTGCTTTAAAATATCGTGTCTGAGGTAACCTGCACTGAGCCATCCCTTAGAGAATGACTCATTTTTCCTGAAGCTTTGTGATTTTTGCATCGAAACGACCGCTATCACTTTCAATCTGATCGTCTATTATTGATGGTAACTAAAGTGCCCATTGATTGATCATCCCAGAGTGCAAGTGTATCCTAGAGCCTGTCACCAACTGAACAAATTTGCATCCTGGACTTTAATGGTGTCGCAAGCAATAGACAGAACTTATATCGCCTTCAGTGCTATTCATCGATTTCACAGAAGAGGAAAGCTCTCTTCGACAGCTAGTCAGGCATGCGGCAGGAGTGGCAGGTGAGGGAGAATTGAAGAAGAAAAGAGTGTGCTAGATGAGCAAGCAAACATCAGAACGCCTTTGTTTTTCAGAGCGTCAAATAAAAAAGCTTTTTTTCCTAAGAAAAAAAAATCAGCGTTTCAAACCTAACATTAAGTGGGGGGAAACATTCATTTTTATGCTTTTTGCTGTGCATCGCGATAGCGTTGCTACAGCCTGCAAAGACGCATACTGTCGAGGGTTGTCTGTGTGTGTGTGTTCAAAAGTGAGTGAATTTTGTCACCCACTTCCATCTCAGCAACCAAAAAAGCTGGGAGGCGAATTTTTGAGTACATGTTCCCACGCTGTGTTTCACCCGCTCGTTTTAAGATCTTCCCCCACACGCGCCTAGACCCCATGTATGGACCCCCGAAAAAAAAATATGCAGATTTCTTTGGCGGTAAACAGTTTAGCAAACCAGGCAAGATACAAAGTTGAAACTTTGCAGGGATATTCTCCGTGCATGTGCGAGCTAAAGATTTCAATTCAGCTGTCGCGCACGCTTGTGTAGCGCGTACGATCACGTCAAAGTTTGCACGTGGCACTGCGCTAACTCGAAAACTAGTCAGAAAACAGCGGCTGAAGTTTTTTCAGCATATTTGTCGTCCGTATGGGAAATCGTATGCCCAAAATGAACTCCGATTTGCACTTGCGCTAGATTCAGGGCGCTTCAAAGATATTTGTAGTGAAATGGATATTTCGCTTATCGGACAAGATGCGAAGCTGAAACTTCGCTGGGGAATTCTAATTTTAAGTGCGGTCTTAATTCTGCTTGGAAATAAAACTCACTGCAGGTGGGCATGAGAAATACTCAACTTTACCGAAAAATCAGAAACTAGTGCGTTTCGCAGCGAAGCAATACTTCCACTTTTTAGTGAATTGGAAACTTGCATTTTTTCAAAAAATTTGCGTTTTTCA